CATGGCTCACGGGCCCAGCCACTCCGCGGCACATGGGATCTCCCCGGACCGGGGCACGAACCCGTGTCCCCTGCATCGGCAGGCAGACTCTCAACCACTGCGCCACCAGGGAAGCCCTTTCCTGGATTCTTAATTAAACCGCTAATAATTCAATAAGTTCTTATTTCCTTCAATCCCTCCCTTTATTTGTATACACAATATAAAATTGATAATGACACTTGTTGTAATGTGCTCTCTAGCAGGAGGATCCTGTGAAATCTCAGAGATGTGAATTCTGGGGGTGGCCATTTGAGACTAGAATTCCAGAGACCATGAAGAGACAAACTAAGTTATTTCTCATTTTCCTCCTTCCAGGTTAATTTTTTCCTCAGAAAAGCCCTGTTTTGAATTGGGTTCTTGGCTTCAGGTCTAAAAATAATTTGTATTCTCACTCCTTTTTTTTTTGTTTTTAAGATTAAAAGATCTAAGCAGATCAATTCCCTGAACTAGATAATCTTCCAATTTTTATATCATTTAGCATGTTGCATGGGTACCTCTCTTTGCTATCAGCTAAGGTTTATTCAGGTGATGGATAGATATGTTCATTTTAATATTAAGCAAATGGCAATAGTGTATCTTACTGAGAAAGTAAACCTTCTGAAAGAAATCATGCCATATTATAAAGCTAAATAATTTAGAGATTCTCTCATTCTCTTTTTAATCATATCTGTGGTTATTCCTCTCCAATGATTATTGCAATGCAATGGAAAGAAGCTTGTAACAATAAAGGAGCTTCATCTGTTTACAGCTTTATTCTATAAATATCTGAGTACCTACTGTGTTGCTCTAGTGTTGGAAATAGAACAGAAAAAAAGCAGACAAAATCCCTGCCCTCACGGAGTTTACATTCTAGTCCTTGAAACCAAGGTAACATACCCCTGTAATGTGTAAAATGCACATTATGATAATCTTCTTCTGTAGAGAAATTGTTGCAACAACATTTAGAGAAGGGTTTTTTTTAGCTGAATGACGTATCAGGCCATGTGATGATTCAACATCTTATCCCCAGGTATAAGGAAGGTCCATGTTGACCCCCAAAGCAAATGAGAAATGTTAAAACACAAGTCAGTCACTCAAACATTTCCTAAGTACAAACATTGAGGGTATGGAAATAAAGAGGCAAGCTTTATCCTCCAGCTGTTTACAGTCTGGTGGAAGAGACAGATGAATGATATTAACAATTACACACACGTGGGCAAGCGCACACAGAGCCCTGTGGGAAGAGAGGCATCCAGCCTAGCCAGAGAGAAAGGGGTGGAGCTTGGGGTAGGGAATCAGGAAAGGTGTTCTGAAAAAAAGTTAAGCCTAAACTGAGTCTGGAGGAATGTGCAGGCACAGTCAAGTAAAACAGGGAGGGAATTCCCTGGCGGTTTAGTGATTAGGACCCAGCACTTTTACTGCCGCCGGGGGTCTGGGTTTGATTCTGGTTGGGGAACTAAGATCCGACAAGCTGTGTGGCATGGCCAAAAAAAAATTATAAATAAATAAATAAATAAGTTAAAAAACCAACAGGGACTAGGAGGACATATCAGACAAAGGAATTAGTGTGAGCAGAAGATGAAGCACAGTGTATAAACTATGAAATGCAGGTAACTTGGGAAATGTATGATTTGGGTTAGATAACTAGTAGAAATGGCTGGACAGGTAAGAAGGGGCTGGATCTATTAAGCAAAGGCTTAATGATCAGATTTTCATTTTAGAAAGATTATCTTCCATCTTTATGGAAGGTGGCTTTGAACGAGAAGAATGGAAGTGGGGAGGCCAAATTTGAGGTCACTACAATAATCCAAACAACAAAAAAATAAAGATCTGAAGTAGAGTAGTTGTAACTGTGAGAATCTGAGATATATTGATGAGGCAGAGTTGATAGAAGATGATAGCTGATAGATTGTATCTGGGGGCAGTGGGTAAAGGTTGAAAACTGGCATTGACACCAAAACTTCTTACCTTATTTTCATTGTATCATGCTCCAAGAACTATACATAATAAATATGTCATTTTATTCCTTAGCCAGGAGTCTCCTCTACTTGATAGCTCAGGGAGATCTTTAACTAGTACTTATTTATCTGCATACAAAGTAAACATCTATCCTTTTAATACCCCCTGGGTTATAAGCTTTACCACATATGGTCAACTCTTTCTTTATCTACTCTTTATTTAATTTATCTATCTCTGGGCAATCATTCAACAGAAGCTCTGTGTAAGCAGGGTGTATATATGTGTGTATATATATATATACTTTCACATTAAATATTTGAATGTTTGGCTCATGAAAATAAATATAAATATGCAAGTCAAATTTTGTTATATATATAAATTCAATGAGAGTTTAAGAAATAGGCACTGTACAATCTACAGGTAGCAAAAACAAAGCCACAGTGGGTGATCTGGTAACAAGAACAGAAACATAAACATTAAAATAGAGCTAAAGCAATATGAAAAGCCCCTAAATACCTTAATTTAAGTGAAATCTGATCTGTATGATGAGAATCAATCAATCTCACTCCCTTTAAGGAACTTTGTTTTGGTGGGGATTTGATTATCAAGTAGCAGTTTATAGTGTAAACTGCACAGGAAGAATCTTGAGGTGGTTCATCCTAGTCAGTGCATGTATTGTTTTGAATTACCTGGATTTTAACACCCTATGGTAGGAATCACGTGTTTCCTACTTAAGAGTAGTGCTTTCTGTTTCTCCTTTGTAGGAGGCTTAAATAAGGCAGGTCAAGGCTACCACATCCCAAGATGTCTCTTACCACAGCGTGGTTCTTCACATAGCAGGGCTTGCACACGGGCTTGTCATTGACCATCACGTATATTTCCCCAGCTAGGATGTTGTCACAGTCAAAGCAGCAGAAGTGTTTCAGATGCCAGTTCTGGTTTTCTGCCTGGGTATACTCATTGCTGAATATTAGCTGGGAAGAGGATAAAAATAAGATCAATCATGTTTTTTCCTTTTTACTACACATAACCAAGCTAGGTTCTTTAGACCAGTAAGGGATTTAGATCCACAAGGAATATTAGTCAACTTTTTGGGGTGTGAAGTCTGAAAACAACCAAAAGCTTGAACTTGGGTGATTATTTAGTTTAGTTCAAATCAATCTTTTACGTTTCTGGACAGTATTTCATTAGGTAACTCAGTTAACATGGACACTCAGAGTGACTGAAATTAAAAGTTTTTTTCATTTAACTTCTTTGGATATAAATAAAGCAACTAATGCTTGGTTAATTCATCTTACCTTCTCGCTAAGGGTGGCCTGGTTACCATGGTGAAGGAACCATAGATGGGTGCAAAAAGGAGCCTGCATTTAGGTGACCCCAGAGAACATACCTCATCACAGCCAGCACACCGGGGTTTCTCACTGTCACAGTAATGTCTGCCACAGTACAGCTTGCCATTCTTCCAGAAATAAATCATGTCGACCAGGAGTTCATGGCACGTACTGCAGACGAAACAAGCTGGGTGCCACAGTTTATCGTAGCCGGCCCTTTCAGCATAGATGGCTGGTTCTCCTTCCTTCATACTCAGTTTGCAGCAGTAGCAGGACTGAAAGCGAAACCAGCCAAAACAATCTAGTCATCCTGAGACTGGCATTTCTCATCAACAGTTTTAGTAGGAATTCAGAGAAACCACTTTCAAGAGAAATAATTTCTACTGAAATCAGTAATTTGTCCATGTAGGCAATATGGTGTTAGTATTTGTGAAAAGGAATCTCTAGGCTTTCTCCAGGTTCTCCAAATCTAATTCTTGCACCCTATGTGTAACAGAGCACTGTTTTCTGAATTAAAGCTGCTTATGGAAAAAGGCTAATAGTAATTTTCACTTCAATTTTAGTAGTTCTCTCAAAAATGACTACTTTAGAAATTATTGTACTTTTTTTTTTCTTTTTTTTAATACAGGACTAAGCCTTGTTGGTTGATGTGCTAACAGGATCTGTGAGAAACACATTACAGTAAGTAACTAATTAGTTCTTATTTTTTGTTCATCTGTGTCACAATTTGCTTCTACTTTCAAGGCATAAAAAAAAGACTTCAATATCCCTCTCTAGAGAGACTTTTTAAAAGTATGATTGACCATATATCCACATAAATTTAAGTTTGAATTTTAGGCATGTTCTCACAAGCAAAACTGAATTAACCTAAGCATGTATTATTCTTATTTATGGGAAGAGACAGACAATTAACATCAAAATTATGTTTAGAAACAGACTCTAGATTGTATGCTGTATTCCAGCACGACACCAAAGCTAACTGCTATGTATACATTAAACTCACAATTATCTTCGGCAACAGATAATCAGAAAACCTGGCTTTAGACCAAGGCTTCAAACGTGGTAGGTAATTCTCTAAAATAAGCCTAAACTGAATTATAATTCAATTTATTTCCCTCATCTACTCCCTTTTGGAAACAGAGTAACTGTATTCCTCCCCATCCACCCAGCCCCCCCCTACACCAGCCATTCAAAGAAATGGAATGAACCTGTAAAATATACCAATTGGCCCAACATCATGACTGTTATCACTTACATACTGAGTTCTTTTGTGTTCAGCTGATTTGTCCTCCATGGCCCCTACCGCTGTCGTGGTGCTTCTATCCCCTCCAGGAATGTATGTTTTATTGGGACCTTGAGCGTTCATGTCACGGGGTAGTTTGACATCTCCTACTCCCAGAGCCTCGCTCTTATATTTCTTCACAAACTGCTCCATCTCCTTCACCTCTTTGGGAGACAACTCATGGCACTTTGAAGGGTCCTGGTCATGAGCAGGGAGTTGCTTTGCCAACTGCTTCTTCCGGTACTGCGCCCCCTCTGAGCCTGCCACTGGCTGCTTCTCTTTGGGCAGCATCTGCATGTACTGCCTGGCCTAGACCACAAGGAGACTGGTGTTAACTGGGAGATGCCTTGGCCATCATATAAATGATATTTTACAACACTCATTAGAATCAAAATACTGAAGAAAGAAGTCAGTTTTATCCATTACTAACAATTGATCTTCATAGTATTAATATCTTGAGATGTTAACACGTTAAAAATGGTACAATAAATAGATTGAGGTCAGTAAAAATGAACACCTTTTTCTTCATGAAATTAAAGCTTTTCTTTTTTCCAGTTTCTTTTAATGTTTACATGTGCTAAAATCACTTTGCTGTACACCTGAAACTAACACAACATTGTAAATCAACTATACTCCAATAAAAATTTTAAAAAACAAACCAAAAAAACACAACTGTATAGTTGCAAGAGAATACAATTTTTTAGGCAGCATGTTTAGAATGGTCTAAGGATCATCAGTATTTTCATCACTATAAGAAAATGATATCACAAGATTCACTCTTATGATTTAACTAACCTTCTTAAAAGATTTCCAAATGTCTCCTCTAGTTGTTGTATTAGTGGAAGTAGCTTGACACAAAATTGCATTTTTTTGCCTTACATAGTAAAAGAAATATAGTGTTGAACATCTTTTGAATTATAAAAAATGAAAGAAAATTCTATTCTTTAGATAACTATCTTAAGAGAAATCTTCTCAAGAGTAACACAGAAGTTACTAGATTTATACAAAACATCTGTTTTTCATTTAATTATTAAAAATGTCAGACCATTTCTTTGAAAAAGTTAACACAGATTGTCTAGATAGTCAAAAATTCTATGAGGTATCTAATCTTACTTTCAAAAGACCAATAGGAGTTGTAAGTCAAAGTAATGGGGACCCCAGAAAAATAATAGACCTGAGGTCGATTAGGGTCACTAAAGGAATTGCCCTAAATAAGTAGCCCATGAACTTTAATACTGGGACTTCCCTCCCCCTTATTATTTACCAATGCCTGATTCTGGACAGGAGGAGCCCATTCATAGGTAACTGTGTTGATGGAGACATTCTTCTTGGCAGCAACTGGATTGGTCAGTATCATAACATTGCGTTTATACATGGGAATTCCATCTGATTTTAGCTTTGCAATCAGGGTGGTATACTTGGTGTCTTCAAAAAGTTTCCCCACTTTTCGATCCTCTTCATTGCTCAAGAGGACATCATGCTCTTCTTGGCCACACTTGCAGTTACGACATATTTTTCTATAATTTTGGAGATAAGTAGGCAATGATTAATTAGATCTAATCAGTCATACATATATAGTTCAAAATATACTTTTACAAATATTCCACATAATGGTATGCAAAGTCAAGTCTTGGGGAGGGTGAGGAGATTACAAGTAGCCATCCATAAATTTAAACAAGGAAACATATAAATGCATCTTCGCTTTATAAGACTTTGAAAAAAGTTAGGTTTTGATTAAAAAGTGCATGCTCAAGGGGGCATGTCTGAGGATAACCCCATCTGGTATTCCTCATTCTCTCAACCAGATATATAAATAAAACAAAATCACCAAAAAACTATCACAGTAAGCAGTTTCATATTTTACTGCATGATAACAGCCATTGACCATGGGTTTTTGTTTTTGTTTTTGTTTTTGTCCCTAAGTGAGAGAGAAAGAGGTTGATATATCCTTTTCTGATCAAGGACGGTAATACAAGATTTAGGTTTAGCTTTTATCATTTCCTTTCTGTCCCCTTTCCAATTTCCTTTCCTCTCTTTTCTCATGTTTTATTTCCTTTCTCCTTTCTCTTTCCTTCCCTTTCCTTCCCCCTTCTTTTATTTCTTCAAACACTTAGTGATCACCTATCATGCACTCCCTTATGTATAAGAAGACAGATAAAGTCTCTGGCCTTCTTATAGTTGAAGGACACCGACTCCCTTCCCCAGACTGGTCTGGCATGTAATCTTTCATTCATGCAATGTATATGAGTGTCCATGTGCCAAGCAATGAACTTGATAGTAGGACATAATAGTGAAAAAATTAGGCCCAGTCACTGACATTCTAGAACTTACCACCTGGTGGGGAGACAGATATTAAACAAATACACACACATACACACACACACACACACACACACCTATAATTGCATTTGTGATAAGAAAGAAAAGTACAGGATACTTTGAGAGGGTATAATTTTTTTATTTTTTTAATTTTAATTTTTATTTATTTATTTATTTATTTATTTGCGGTACGCGGGCCTCTCACTGTTGTGGCCTCTCCCGTTGCGGAGCACAGGCTCTGGACGCGCAGGCTCAGCGGCCATGGCCCACAGGCCCAGCCGCTCCGTGGCATGTGGGATCTTCCCGGACCGGGGCACGAACCCATGTCCCCTGCATCGGCAGGCAGACTCTCAGCCACTGAGCCACCAGGGAAGCCCGAGAGGGTATAATTTTGACTTAGAACTGGTGAGGAGAGGACTCCATAAGAACATTACTCCATAAGAAAGTGACATTTAGGTTGAGATCTGAAAGATGTGTAAAACAGGTGTGAATTGTGTATGTGTGTGTATTTGAAAAGAGGTAATGAAAGGAGAAGAAAAGCCTCCAGACATTCTGGGTAGAAAGAGTATTTGTGGTGGTCCTGAATTAGGAAAGAGATTGTGCCCTTAGGTCCCATGATCAGATAAGTCTGGTATGACTACAGTGAGGTAAGTAAATGGGGTGGTGACAAGGTTGGAGAGGTAGGCAAGCCTGAGATCATGCAGGGGCTTGTAGGGCACATTAAGAAATTTGGCTGTCATTGTAAGAGCAATCAGGAGGCACAGAAGGCTTTTAAGTAATGGAATAACATGATTAGATCATTTTCAAAAATTGTTAATACTTGTCACATGGAGAATGAATTAGGGGTAGACATAATTGAAAGTAGGGAGACCAGTTAACATGTCAATGGTGCATCCAATTGCACCATTGACAAGGTTCTAAATAACAGAGATTCTACTGCTACTTTGCAAGTGGAATTTACAACTTGGATGGTTATTGTTTTGGCCTGGGTAAGATGTGTAATAGCTTAGACTAGATTATTTGATGTTGGAGATAAAAAGAAAGGAACAAATTTAAGATATCCTTGAATGTGAAACTGACTAAACCTTTGTGGATATAGTGATGGTGAAGGGAAGGTCCAGTCTGTTAAAAAATGAACCCAGGTTTCCAGGATGAGAAAGTTGGTGAAAGGAATGTAATTTCTTAGATCGTAAAAGCAAAAGAACAGATCTGAGGTATGGGGCAAAAGGTTGGTGAAAGTTATCCAAAACTGAAATAATAAGTTTGAAATGCCTATGAGACAGGGTAAAGATATCAAGTAGATTATATGATATATAGATCTAGTGTTAAAAACTATAGCCTGATAGAAAATATAAGTTCGGAAGTCAGGGAATTAATTGAACAGGTCACTTTCACTTCCTGGGGGAAGAGCAGAGGAAGAAGATGAGGACTCAGGAAGGAGTCTGGTAAAGGAGCAGAAGCTGGAAAAGGTGACAGAGGAAAACAGAGGAGTAGAGAGACTTTGTGGGGTTAAAAACATATTCTGGTACTAAAATACAGGGCAATGATAGCATATAAGTTAGAGGGAGGAATCTGAGTTTTAAAAAAACATTCTAATATCCTTATATTGTTCAGGAAGATACTGAAGATATAGATTAACATTAGATGTTAAACATGTATGTTAAAATATCTAGATAACTAAAGAAAGAAATATAATTTCTAAACTAAAAGAAAAAGGAATGAAAGTATAAAGATGTAATTATTCAAATAAGAGAGGAGAAAAAAATAAACGGAGGCAATTAGGACGTGCAGAAAGCAAAAATTATATGGTTGATATAACCCAAGCATATCAACAGTCAAAATAAATGGACCCATTTCTCCAGCTGAAAGATGAAGGCTTTCAGAAGGATAATACAACAAAATTAAACAATATGCTGTCTGTAAGAAATGCTTAAAGTTTAAACACACAGAAAGGATGAAAGTATAAAGATGCAAAAAGATTAACCAGGCAAATGCCAACAAAATGCAAGTTAGATACCTATATGAATATCATACAATTAATGCTTTTTCCTTTAATGACTAAAGAGAGTCACTTCATTGTAACAAACATTAAAAACACTTCTATGATATAACAATTCTGAACTTAATACAATCTAATAACCTAACTTCAACATATATAAGCAAAAGTAACAGAACTATAAGAAATAAATGAACAAACCCATCATTATGGTGAGACTAAAAAAATTAGAAATGAATATTTGAATAACACAATTATCAAGCTTGATCTAACAGACACATAAAAATATCATATCCAGTGATTGGAGAACATACATTCTTTTTATAAGTATTTGAAACACTTTGAAAATCTAAAAGTCTACTATGCCATAGAGCAAGGCTCAAGAAATGCCCAAGGACACATCATCAACCACATTATCTGAACAGAATGCAATTATGTTAGAAATCATCAGCAAAAATGTAACTACAAAGTACTTTTTTTAAAAAGCCTCAAAAAATTCAATGTTGAAAGAAAAAAATCACAATAGAAATTAAAACCAAAATCATTTTAGGAAAAAAGAAAGCAAAAATATTACTTCCTGAAACTTGTAGAACACAACTAAAGGGATGCTGAGGAGGAAATTTATAGTTAAGGTATGCTCAAATTAGAAAGAAGAATAAAAATTAATTAGCTAAGTGTTTAATTCAGGAAGTTAGGAAAAATTCAGACTAAACCTAAAGTAAAAAAGAAGGAAAATAAAGATAACAGCGGAAACTGATAAGGTAAATGTTTGCTTCCCATCAGATATAGGAAAAGGATTCAATACATTTCAACATTTCTTCTGATTACATTTTAAAGTAATTTTAGCTGTAGAAGGGAATTAGGATTTTAGAAAGGGTTTCTGGAAAAAAACTCCACAAGACTCAGCATCCATCACACTTAGTGCATTCATTTTAGGATCTGAAGCAAGAAAGCAACCTTGCCATCGTGACTTCATTCATTTTGTCCTGTGGGTACTAACCAGAGCAGTAAGAAAGTTCAAAGAAATACAAGTCATAAGGATTCATCAGAAAGGAAGAAACTAAACTGTTGTTAGCCACACATGCTATGACTGATCATATAAAAATGTATCACCATCATTAAGAGTTTAATAAGTCTTATGGATTTAAAATTAATATAAATCATTGGATTTCTTTACATCAGAAAATTAGCAAAAAACAAAACAACTAAAAAACTCTTTGCCAAATAACAAATTATTAAATAATTATTGATTTTTGTGTCCTGTTTTCTTAAGGTGAGGTATGCAAACTGAAAACATTAGATCTGATTTATACAGTCCCAGAAAGAGAGAGAAGGAAAGAGACAGAGTGTCAGAGATATGAAGGTGGAGAGGCTAAATACTTCCCTTGTGCACACATTGGTCAGAATTCTTTATTTGGTGAGAATTCGCTGAAGAGTTTGCATATTCCAGTTCAGCTATAAAAGACTCTTACATCTGGTTATCTCATATTTCCATCTAGTGGAAAGGAGCATACTATTCTACTACAGTATGTTCTTCATTCTTGTTCTTCAGTTAACAAAAACAATATAATTATTCATAAAACTATCACATTGCTTTTGGATCAAGTTTTAAATCACACCTTCCTGAGGGTAAAGAGGTGGGTTGGGAATTTAGTTCTTAATATAGATAAATAGATCCTTATATGGCTGTGAACTGTGGCATGCATCCTAATATTAGCAAAGTGGTTCACTAAAGAAGGAAGTAATAATTTTACAAGGATGTGATGAATACTGGAGTTCCTTTGGAAATGTTTATTATCCAGTTCTACACCAGTACAACATGTATGCTATGAAATGAGGGGAGTTAGATTCTAAAATCTGAAAGACAAATAATAAAAGAGTAAGTGAAATAAAGCCTGCGGGCTTTCTAAAGCATGAACTATACTACGACAAGCTGTAGCATGGTTAAATAAATTATATTTACTGTGAAAATGTTATATAAAAGAGGTATATTAACCAGTGATATATAATAGCCATCTCTATATTTTTTCTTATTTTTCATCTTGGCTATTCTTGGAATATTTACATTCTGAGAAAATCTATATTCCCTGTCCACCCCTTCACCCACCTGAAATACCTTTATTAAAGCAAGAAAAATCAGGTTAAAACGCTACACGAATAGCAGCAGTAATGAGGGAAAAAGAAGTAGCTAAAGAAGTCAGA